TGCTCAGGGCTCGGTCCTGTCCCCCCTCCTTTTTAACATCTACATGAAACCGCTGGGTGAGATCATTCGGCGACATGGGGTGAGGTATCATCAGTACGCGGATGATACCCAATTATATATCTCCACCCCCTGTCCTTTCAGTGAAGCAGTCGATCTGATGTGCCAGTGCCTGGAAGATGTGAGGGTCTGGATGGGGGTGAACAGGCTTAGACTCAACCCTGACAAGACCGAGTGGCTCTGGGTCTTGCCTCCCAAAGGTCAACTGGATGGTCCATCATTAGTCCTGGGGGAGGCAAATTTACCTCCCTCAGTGCAGGCACGCAACTTGGGTGTCCTCCTAGACTCACAGCTAAATCTGGAACAACATCTATCAGCTGTGGCCAGGGGGACCTTTGCACAGGTTCGCCTAGTGCACCAGTTGCGGCCTTATTTGGACCGGGAGGCTTTACTCACAGTCACTCATGCCCTTGTCACCTCCAGACTGGATTACTGTAATGCGCTCTACATGGGGCTACCCTTGAAGAGCGTTCGGAGGCTGCAGTTGGTTCAGAATGCAGCCGCGAGAGCGATTGTGGGCGCGCCAAGGTACGCCCACGTGTCACCTATCCTCTGCAAGCTACACTGGCTTCCTGTGGGTCTCTGGACGCAATTCAAGGTGTTGGTTATCACCTTTAAAGCCCTTCATGGCATAGGGCCAGGTTACTTACCGGACCGCATACTGCCGCACAGTTCCCAGAGACTGGTGAGGTCCCATAGATTGGGCCTCCTTCAGGTCCCGTCGGCCGGCGGGCCCTCGGGGAAGGGCCTTTTCTGTGGTGGCTCCGACCTGGTGGAATCAACTTCCCCCCGAGGTTCGAACAACTCCCACCCTGCTGGCCTTTAAGAAAGCCATTAAAACTCTCCTATTCCGGCAGGCCTGGGGCTGATGTCCCCGGGGGGAGCCGGGATATGATGTCCCCGGGGGGAGCCGGGATATGATCGGACTTGTATTATTTTATTGTTTTATTGTTAGATGATTGTTTTAATTTTGTACGCCGCCCTGAGTCCTTTGGGATTGGGCGGCATATAAATAAAATTAAATAAATAAATAAATAAATAAAATGTTTTAATATACTTTTACTTTTTAAAAAACTAAAAGTATATACCAGAGCATTTTAGCAGAACATTATACTGCTTTTTAGAATTTAACATGGAGACTTCCTTTTGCAGCAAAACACATTATCTATTTGCAGGACAGGCCATGAACACAGAATAGCAGAATTGGAAGGACCTTAGAGATCTTCTAGTCCAACCACCTGGTCAAGCAGGAGACCTATACCATTTCAGACAAATGGCTGTCCAGTCTCTTCTTAAAAGTCTCCAGTGACAGAGCACTCACAATTTCTGAAGACAAGTCATTCCACTGGTTAATTGTTCTCACTGTTAGGAAATTTCTCCTTAATTTTAGGTTGCTTCTCTCCTTTAGTTTCAATCCATTGTTTCTAGTGCTTTGAAAAATAGGTTGACCCCCTCTTCTTTGTGGCAGCCCCTCAAATACTGAAACATTGCTATCATGTCTTCCCTACTCCTTCTTTTCACTAGACTAGACATACCCAATTCTTGCAACCATTCTTCATATGTTTTAGTCTCCAGTCCCCTAATTCTTTGGTGCTACTATTCTTTGATACACAGGTATTTCAACATATATGGCCTTTTAAAGTTACAACCTTATAATTTCAGTATGGTTACTAAAAGCAAACTTTACATTTCCTATAACTTAACAATAGATAGGACCTTGATTGCAGTAACAGGTGAGTCATTTTTGCTGGTCTAGTGTTATAGCTCTAGAATAAAACAATTTTTTTGCAAACAAATGCAAAACTATGCATTATCTAGGGCTACAAATCTCAGCTACAAAAATTTAAACTATTGTTAAACAGCAACAAAGAGTTAAAGTTACACTTAGAAAGCCTGATAAACCATTGCAATTACTGTAATTACAAGTGTGTGTGTGTGTGTGTGTGTGGGTGTGGGTGTGGGTGTGTGTAGTACTGCTTCTTAAAATGTCTGGCCTCTGAAAATCAGGAATACTGTTTTTCAGGGAAGGGGCAGATGAAAAAGGAAAGAGTAATTTTTTTCTGCCAATATAATCACATATTGCAATTCCATGTTTGACCACCAGATAGAGCTAACAAGTTAACTTTTTTTATTTGTTAACACACTTCTCAAAAATCTAAAAAGATGAAGCAAAATAGTATCAATAAAACTGTTTTTATTGTTCCTTCAACACAGAATCTAAGAATTTACAATAAAACTTACCTACACAGTTTTAAACACACATATGGCTAAATACAGGCAGTCCTCGACTTACAACCATTTGTTTAGTGACCATCTAAAATTACAATAGCACTGAAAAAATGACTTATGACTGTTTTTCACACTTATGACTGTTGCAGCTTCGCAACTGGCATGTATTTATGATGGTTGCAGTGTCTGAGGTCACGTGATCACTTTTTGCCACTTTCTCACATCAATGGGGAAGCCAGATTCACGCAAAAACTGCAGTTATTCATTTACTAACTATGGCAAGTAAGGTTGTAAAATGGTGCAAAATTCACTTAACACTTATCTTGCTTAGCAATGGAAATTTGAGGCTTGTGTTTGTAAGCGGAGGACCACCTGTATATACTTCTTTCATGCTTGCTTTGTTTTGTAAAATCAACATGGCTATTAAGTCCTATGATGTCTCTTGTAAGGACAATTAAAGATTGCTTATCTTATTGGGGATCGTTTGTGATTTCATAATTCAAATGGTTAGTTATATTGTAGAGAAACTGGAATAACTGGCTGCTTTCCAGTATGAGTATATGTAATCATCACAAATAAACGACTTGTTTGAGTCCTCGTTGTAACCTTCACATCTTGCTAGTGTTGCAGTAGAAGCCTGGAATACATGGCAACTCTAAAAAACAGGTATGAGACATACTAACTATATCATGTTAAGCTACATGACAATAATTGGTCAAGACAGTGGGCATAAATATTTAACCACACTTTGAACAAAGTGAATGGTAAATTAAGTCAGGAAAAATGATACATTGTTCTAAGTAACTGGCTCTTGTTGTAAGTCAGGGGTAGTCAACCTTGGTTCTTTTATGACTCGTGGACTTCAACTCCCAGAATTCCTAAGCCAGCTGTGCTGGCTCAGGAATTCTGGGAGTTGAAGTCCACGAGTCATAAAAGAGCCAAGGTTGACTACCCCTGTTGTAAGTGGATGGAAAAAGTAACAGATAACAAAATTTAACATCAGAGCTTTATCTCTCCTAGGAGGAAATCTCAATCAAGCACAGTGGCAGAAGATCTGAATTAGGAAAAGTATTAGAATATGTAATCCTTTCACATATACAGACTAGACATCGACGAATTACAAACTATGACAGAGTTCTCTTGAATCTGATTTTTTTTATTTGGGTTATAACAATAATTATTAAAATTACTTTCTAAAACAAAACCCAAAATTAAAAACATCCATGCCAGATTATGCCAAGGCCTAATGTCCACAATGGGAAGCCCATAAACAGTCCATGAGTTTGACTCCATCCTTCTCTATTTGCATGCCCAAAAAACAATCAGTATCATACTGTAGTAGCTATTGGTATCTTTGTCTGCTATAATGACATCTAAAATCACCCCAATTGATGATAAGTAGATCATGCAGTAGTAATTCTAGAGGCACACCCAGTACAAAGCAGCCCTTTCTTTAATCTGATTGAAATATCTTTGTTGGGCTTACTCAAATGACTCGGAGATCTAAGATTACAAGAACAATTGTAATTGTAACTGCATTATTGTTCACTTTCTGAACACCATCAAAATGTTATTTGCTAGTTTCCTTTTTTATAAATTATGATGTCACAAATACTGTAGCCTTTTATAAATAGCTGCCTTGGTTTACTGTACCACATTGATAATTCATATTGCAAGTCACAATCGTATTTCTGAAATCCAGCTTCGAGTTTTCTTCATACTGTATTTTTGGATAACAAATATCTCTTATTCACAACTTATGTTTCAGAATATTACAGAACAATCAGGAAAAGCTACTTGTAACTAAATGATTAGTTGTACTATTTAAAATTATATTTTGCTTAGATCTAAGACTTTGGCTGTATGCTTAAAATTACATCTGGAACTGACAAATGAATTTTCTTGAAATGCATCTTGAAATGCAATTGCCTATCTTCAAAGAAGAATGGATATTCCAGAAAACACTGTTGCTTCACTCTCCTAAATGTAGTGGAAGTGGATAACATCCCTTGCCATTTTTCAGCCTCAGTGTTATATCAGTTTCTTCGTTAGCGCAGTTTGAGAAATAGGAAGCTTAACTGAAAGCTTGGCTGATGGAAATTGATTAATTTCCACCAGCCAAGTAGACAAATGTTTAGTCAAATAAAATTATTGAATGCTTGATGAAATAGCTTTTATTTAATTCTATAGGCTATAAAACATGAACTGTTAATTTAAATATAAATTATCTTCATTATCTAACAAATAAGCCAAAATAGATTTTTGAAAGCTATATTAAATTACATCATTAAGAATAATTGTGCTAAGTATTGCATTAAAAAGAATCAAGCAAAACACGGGGAAGAGACCAATATACAAGCAAGGTTCACTTTTTATTTTCCTAAAATAATAAAGACAGAAAAGTGGGTAATTGACTCAAATACAATGCCGAGTATTTCTGTAAACTATGCACCTTTATTAATAATAGTGTATATGAGTAAGTTATGTAAAAAAAAAATCCTACGGTTGTATTTGTATTTGTATGAGGAAACTTCTGATCCTAGGCAAAATGAATCTATAATAAAATTCAATAAATAATTTAATTAATTTAGTTATTATTTGTTGTGTTTCTATCATATGTCAAATGTTAATTAAAGTGAAGAATGATGATGCTATATACTATAACAAATACTTCATGAATCCTCTCTCAAAATGCCATAGATGAATTAACTCACAAAATCTGTGTCAAGTTTTTCCATTTCTTGCTTGTAGCTCTTCATTCTACTGCTGTACATGGCTCGGCTCTGTGGAGGGATTTCACGCACTTCAAGTTCCATTTGTTCCAACTGATGTTTAAAATTATGAAGGGAAAAAAGAAATGAAAAAGTAAGATACAAGAATTGGATTTGAATCTGAAAAATAAATTATTCAAGGACTAAGAATTTTTAAATATAACTAGAACAATTATGCATATAATCATACCAAGCTATGAATTTTGAACCATAATGGCTGGCTACACACCACAACTAAGTTAAAAACTAAGAATATTATGGTTTAGTTTGATATGTGAACCAAATCACAAACAAATCTATACAAATAGGCACAGACATTCTTCAAAAAGAAGTGAATCTATTGCATTATAAAATACAAGAATTATTACTAGCTCCAAAATACTCTACACCAGGCATGTCAAACTCCACGACGTCACATGACGTCGCGCAACGTATCATAGCTTTCCCCCATTGCTGGCAATGGGGTGGATGTGGTTTCAGTATGATGCATCCAGCCCGTGGGCCAGCAGTTTGACATTCCTGCTCTATGCCATCCATATGCATACACAGGAATACCCTATCATTATAACAAACACAGGTTTATCACTGTTTACAAAGTGGTTTCTCAACATCTATAATAGACCCAGTGTCTCAATTAGTTCATAATAATAATAATAATAATAATAATAATAATAATAATAATAATAATAAAGTTGGAAGGGACCTTGGAGGTCATCAAATCCAACCCCTGCTCAGGTAGGTAACCCTATACCATATCGGACAAATGGCTGTCCAGTTTCTTCTTAAAAACTTCCAGTGTTGGAGCATTCACCGCTTCTGGAGGCAGGTTGTTCCACTGGCTAATTCTTCTAACTGTCAGGAAGTTTCTCCTTAGTTCTAGGTTGCTTCTCTCTTTGGTTACCGTAGTTCCCATCTACTGCTTCTTGTCCTACCTTCAGGCTCTTTGGAAAATAGCTTGATTCCCTCTTCTTTGTGGTAGCCCCTGAGATATTGGAACACTGCTATCACGTCCCCCCCTCGTCCTTCTCTTCATTAAACTAGACATACCCAATTCCAGCAGCCGTTCCTTATATGCTTTAGCCTCCAGTCCCCTAATCATCTTTGTTGCTCTTCTCTGTACTCCTTCTAGAGTCTCAATATCTTTTTTACATCGTGGTGACCAAAACTGGATGCAGTATTCCAAGTGTGGCCTTACCAAGGCATTGTAAAGTGGTATTAATACTTCACGTGATCTTGATTCTATCCCTCTGTTAATGCAGCCTAGCACTGTGTTGGCTTTTTTGGCAGCTGCAGAACACTGCTGGCTCATATTTAAATGATTGTCCACTAGGACTCCGAGATCCCTCTCACAGTTACTACTATTGAGCAAGGTACCCCCTACACTATACCTGTACATTTTGTTTTTCTTGCCTAAATGTAGAACCTTACTTTTTTTACCGTTGAATTTCATTTTGTTAGATAGCGCCCAGTGTTCAGGTCTGTCCAGATCCTCCTGTATCCTAAGCCTGTCTTCTGGCGTGTTGGCTATTCCAGCCAGGTTGGTGTCATCCGCAAATTTCATGAATTCCCCATCTATCCCCTCTTCCAAATCGTTGATGAAGATGTTGAAGATCACTGGGCCCAGAACAGAGCTCTGGGGCACCCCACTACACACTCCCCTCAATGTAGATGTGGTTCCATTGATGACCACACGCTGAGTACAGCTGGTCAGCCAGCTACGGATCCATCTGGTGGTGATGCTGTCTAACCTGCATTTTTCTATCTTATCAAGTAGTAGGTTGTGATTTACTTTGTCAAATGCCTTTGTCAAATAAATGAATTTATCAAAATCATATTTGCTAACAAATTCAAGTTCTGTCACTGATTGAAGGACCTGTCTCGGTCTTTTTGTTTTTCAAGCAGGTTAATCCCATGGTCAGTATGGGCATGTTCTGGTAGACCATGTTAGATCATTTTATCTTACGTAGCCAATAAATGGACATTTTAGCATGCAATCAGTGTTATATGTTAGCATATATAAGTATATATTATGATGGATGTAATGAATGACTTCCTATGGCATCATCATCTTACTAGTTTCTCTAACCATATCATCTGAAGCAGGGATTCCCAACCCCTGGTCGGTGAACTAGTACCGGGCCGAAGTATACCAGCAACTGGGCCACACAAACAAGCAAAGCCCCATCCGTGGGATGCAGGCAGCACACAAAACCATGCACCCTCCAGTCCGCGGAAAAACCTCTCTCCACAGAACTGGTCCCTGGTGCCCAAAAGGTTGGGGACCTCTGATTTGAAGGATGGTGTTAATTCCATATGTGAGACCTCAGAAAAATGTACCGTGCTTGCTTAATTAGCTCTACAATGGTCTCACACACATATAATTCAAGATTTGTTGTCACACAAACATCTGAGTTTTGTTGAAGTATAACCATTCACAAAATCAAAAAGCTAACTAAATTGTTGTTTAACAGAAAACCAAAGAATTGGCAAGAATACATTTAACTTTTAAACTAATTTCTCCACTCTGTGGATTAACTTACAGAACAGAATTTCAGGCTTATAATGGTACATGCTTTAATGATTTTATTGTAGTTAAAAGTATCCATCCTGTGTTGAAATAATAGAAGCGTGGCTACAAAGGAACACATATTTGATTTATGATACAAGAAATTCAAGTAAATGAAATATTTCATTCAAAAATTATTTTCTCCAAATTGTCTTAGTTGGTAATTCCTTAATTGGAATATTGTGGAACTCAAGGAACTCAGACAAAGAATCCAAATGGTAAACAACAGCCTAATCAAAGAACTATCAAGAACACTCCCACCAACAATGAAAGGCAAGCCACTTGTATATACACAGTAAGCAAACCCCACTCCCTTCTAGCACTGAGGATGCTACTTAGTTGGGTAATGAAATGTCTGCAAGAAACAATCAAACTCAGGGAGCACCAAGGACCCTCCAAATTTTTTTTTTTCAATCTCTGCAAGAATACAAAAAAGCTCAGAGAGAACCAAGGACACCACAGAAATTTCTTCAACTGTCTTTGATTATTTAAATGCTAAAATTTTATCAGATCTTTACTCTTATAAACACTTTTTTGTTTTATGATTCTGTTACTTGTGTGTATTTTATTTTTGTTTCACATGGATACATAAAATAAATGTTACGTTTGTAACAGTTTAGAATTGTTCATTTCCTTTATTTTATTTATCAAATTTATATGCTTCTTTCCTTGCAGTTGATAACTTTGTAGCTTTGGGGGATTCTGTCATAATTTTGAATGTTGTTAAGTGATCAGTTGTAAGATGACAACTACCTATATATGAAGCTGTGAATCTATATTTTGGCTTCCTATAGGGCTTTCACCATATGTACTGTGCCATATGCATAAATGCTATGCCAGTGGCACTGTAATGGAGGCTCTTCAGAAGGACCTATTACAAATTATGCTGAAATGCCCCAATATGCAGATAATTACCAAGCATAGCTTTAAATTCTAATTAGTGCCAACCACAAGTGATAAGTGCTTCATAATCACACTTAAATCTAAAAAAAAGCCACTTTAATTAAGGAGTCATGTAATGTAGAGATAAGAAAGCAGCATGCATGTTTACATTAACAAGATGGAGGGGTTTATCTTGTTATACAACTCTCTTTAATTTGTTTGCCAAAATGTAAACTTTTTGTTTTTCATTTATACAATAAAGCCATGCTAATGCTTACTTCTAAATTATAAACAAACAATCTTTACTAATCTAAGCCTGCATTATAGTTGGATTTCCAGTAAGGAAATGATGAATTGATTTCTGAAGACTGGAAGACATTATAGCGGTAAATGGCAATTGGATGGTGGATCTAGACTGCCAAAACCTTTTTGGAAAAAGATAAGATTTTGAGATTGTCTGCAAGTACTTTGTACAGCTGGCCTTTATGAATTATTTGCAATCAGTGTGATTAAATGTCACTTCTTAATCACTTTGTATTTTACTTTTTTATTGCTTTTTAAAGATTGAGAGGCTTTAAATCTGCAAGTATTATATTCTCTGGTGATTTTTTTCTTCAATCCCTTAAGAAAAAAAACTTAAGTATGAGTGTAAGTTTTGTTAGAATTAAAAAAATGGATTATACAGCAAAAGAGTAATTAAAATATTGATCTTAGAAAGTTTTAAATGGATTAAGTGTTCTAATGGATTGGAATTAACAGTTTGAAATTGATTACAAGAATTGTCCTGTGAGAAACTTTATTTACAATTTCAAAATGTCTTTGAAAGTTGTTCAATAGAGAGCACCTATAATGTCTGTCTGATTTGATCCTGAAGAGCCAGCATACTCTAGATTCCTTGAATTAAACAATATGATCTCTCAGATCTGGATGGCCATCACTCTGCTGGTGTTGGTGAATCATGAAGACCTGGTCCTTCATCCGGGCCTTTAGCAAGGAAGAGAGAAACCCCTCATTTCATCACACTTGCCATCTTTTGTGTTTATTTTTTATGTTTTCTGATTTTATTATAATTTGATTGTTGTGAGCAGCCGAAGTCATTGAGAGTCAGGCAGCATACAAGTTTAATAAATTATTATGTACATAAAAATATGAAATCACAACTGCCAGGTTTTTAGCTCTGTTGATCTTCACATGGATCAAGTCCTTCCCAAGATCCTAGGATACCACAATTTATCTGTGTAATACATGTGCGGATCCAAGCAGTGTGGTCTTTTGTAATTGACAGATGGAAATGTTGCTAATGTGCATATTTTCTAAGTGCCATCCATGATTTATTGGTATGGCACCTAGTGTACCGATAACGACTGGGACCACCACAGCCAGTTTATGCCATAATTTTTTAATTTTGATTTTCAGATCTTTATACTTTGTGATCTTCTTCAATTCTTTGTCTTCTACTATACCAGTGGTTCTCAACCTGTGGGTCGGGACCTCATTTGAGGTTGAACAACCATTTCACGGGGGTCGCCAAACAACGCAGTCTGCCATTTTTTCCCCTTTTCCTTAGCTGTGCTACTCCCTTTTATTCTATTGCTTTTGAAAGCCA